CCTCCACTGGCCTTGAGGTTGATTCATCACTTTAAACTCCTCATCTGTGTTTGTGTAGATCTACAAACAAGTTAGGTTCTGAATGCAAACGCGCAAACAGAACACACCCTGCCCTCGGGTCGCAGCATCCCCGGAACCGGAAACGCGGTGCCAGAGGAAACAAGATCATGCTAAATGCCAGTCGCCGTTTTCTAGACCCAAACGTCGCTAGTTGTCCGTGACTTCAACTGGTGTTTTATTTTTTTGAGACTCTGGTAGTTTGTCCTAAAGTGGAAGCGGTAGCAGCCGGCCGTTTCTCCTTCTCTGATATTATTGAGCGGAGAATGAGACGGACAACCGGGTGGTCCAATGGTTGCATTAGATCCAAAACGTGTTATTGGTGGAGGTTTTTAGACAAATGCAAGAGAACCACTTCATAATTGTTTTCGTTTTTTTTAACCCTCTGGAGGCAGGCAGGTTAAAACCTACCTACCTGGTTACTCCACATACGTATTCATGAGCATTTTTAACTCAGAAGTTCCCCTGAAGGACTTAGTTGTTCGTCCTTTTATCAAAACTTATTTTGAGCCTGAGAGGGTTAAAGGCAAACTTTGCAACTTTTTAAAATCGTTTTCTTGAGCCGGTTTGAGCTAAAATGACTTTACAGGGTTAATGAAATGCCACTCCGACCCCACCGACCCCTGTGGCTAGAATACCGCACTTGCAACTTCAGAGTTACTGGTCCAGTCCCTGCTGGTGGGGGGAGCTGTGGAGTGGAGTGGAGCTCATGATGGCGCTGAAGCCATCTTCCAGCACGTTTCCTGCATGTTTTAGACCATGAACACAGCTGATTTGTTGGATTTAGTGCTGAATCACTCCTGTAGACACTAATGAAGGCTGAGGAGACATTTCAGCTGTCAGATTAAGGTGTTAAAAATACGAACTCACAGTGAGGAGATAGGTTTCATTTTCGGTAAAGCCACAGCAAATTAATACCAAACACAAAGGGCCGCATAGAAAACAAAATTTTAGGCTAATTTGTTTTCTAAACTTGCCTTTTAGTTTAAAACGTTTTTTCTTGAGATGTTGCGGATTTTCTAATTGCTGTATTTTATCATCAGTAAATAAGATTTTTTAATTAAAACTGACTCAATGGTGCAGTCTGCTGAATTAGCTGAAAGTTAGTTTTTGATGTTTAGTTTTTTGTGTGAAGTGTCCTAACACTGGCCTGTGCACACTCACAAAAACACACAAATCACGAGCACATTCTCTCATAAGCACCAGTATAATTAATTTATGATCCTGTCCGCTGATGTATTTTTGTCCCTATGTGACCTTATGGGCTCTCTGAATAGGAAACGTCCTCTAGGATTTGTGGTGCACGGCTGAGTCCAGGCCAGAAACTCGCAGCATGATTCCTGCTGGACCGTGTCTCATGTTTTAAAAAAATAAAATAAAAAGGCCCCTGTACTCTCTCTCCATCCTCCTGCACCTCGTTTTTACTCTTTTCCTCAATCTCTCCTTCTGCTCGTCCCTTTGGAGCTTCTGAAAATAGCAGCTGAGGGAAAACTGGGTCAGCTGCCGTGTAAAAGTCTTTATAGCGAATTCCTCTGAGTGTTTGTAAGCGAACAATTTGTCAAACTATCCACCTTTAACATTTTTAAAGTGCAACTTTTAGAGAAAATCAGCAGCTTTCTCTGTTGGATTTATGTAATCAGGGCCACATCTAGCTTTCCTCGAAAAATGTTCACTTCTACTATACATATGTAAATATATAATGTTCTGCCTTGTTAGACCGGGTCATCAGTAGTGAATTTACTAATCTAGTTTGTTTGTATGGAATTATTCTTTATTAGCTCATCAGTTGGCCTGAGGTTGATTTTTATCGTAAGATGCTAAAAGCTCGCATGATCATTTCCTTTGCAAAGACGCTTCTTTTGTGACTTGTTTGAAAACACAAGTCAGGATTCTGAAGCTTAAAAATGACATTAATAGCAGCACAAGATGGGGTCTCACAACCAACTAGATAAAGACACAAAACTGCAAGAGAATATGGAATGTTTTAGGGCTGCACAATATATCGTGAATATATCGTTATCGTGATATCTGCATGTGCAATATGCATATCGCAAAGAACAGATAAACATCGCAACGAATGGTCAGCTGAAATGTTTGCTACACATGATGATTTCTGTCACCCAAAATGGGTGTCACGTGTTCATGCTTCCTTTTGCAGTCCAAGAATCTTGCTGCAGCATTCTGGACAAGCTACATGCGGGTTACAGTACCCTTACTTGCACCAAATAAAACGGAATTACAATAGTCGAGTCGTGAGGTAATAAAAGCATGAACAACAGTCTCAAGGTCACGTCTAGATAAAAACGGCTTTACTTTAGCCAAACGTCTTAAATGATAAAATGAAGAGGATACTACAGTACCCACATGAGCATCCATGCAGAATGCACTGTCCATCTTCACGCCAAGGCTGACTGCTCAAACACCCAGATAGGAGTTCAGTTCACCGCAGTCTACGTTGGAAAAATCAACATGTCCGCTCAGACCAAACAACAGTGCGTCTTTTTTTTTTTCCATCGAGACACAGGAAGCTTTCTGCCAACCATAACTTAATGTCTACCAAACAATCCAAAAAAATTTATTGTGTGGTCACCGGCACCATCTAGAGGTAAGTACAATTGGCAGTCGTCGGCAAAGAGATGGAATCCAATCTCAAAAGCAGCTTAAAGTTGTTTGATTTTGAATCTTCATGGATGTCGATGGGATGGAAGAGCTGCATTAACATGTTGACCTAGGTGCAAGTCTCTGATGAGACATCTGAAGCCTCTAAAGCAGGGGCGTCAAACTCAAACTCACACGGGGCCGAAATGAAACTCAGGGACGGAGTCGAGGGCCAAACTTCTTTTTTTTTTTTAAAGTGACGGCAAATTTGCACATTTTCTTCATCAACATATATGCAATTTTGAACCTTTAAATTAGGAAACAAACATATTTCTGCATTAACACTGAATGTGGAATAACCAAATTACACACGAGCAAGTCAGTTTTAAATAAAAGGCATCAGTGGTATTCATTACTTGTGGTATAATCAGCATTTTAAAAATCTATTCAGGATTTATGTTTTCTTGTTTATTAATTTTTCTTATTTTTTATTCTCCTTTCTTCTCCTGTAATACGTGTCATCGCTGCTGTGACGTCTAGCTTTCCCCACTGAGGAACAATAAAGGGATTTTCTATTCTATTCATCTATCTGCAGCCTTTCCACTTCCTGTTTACTGTAGGTTAAATCTTTTCTCACGGGCCAACAACAAAATAAAAATATCATTTTATCTTAAATGAAAATGCAACATCTCACCTGTTAACGTTCATGTTTTGGAGCAGAAAAAGAGCATAAAACCAACATATTTAAAGCTCAGTTTGCTCCACTGGTTTACTGTGATGCTCACCTGTTCCAGCCAGATACCTGCATCATGGGGTTGATCTGAGCTGAGGAGGAGACTCCTGTTGTTTTGTTCATCTTCATCATAATAATGACAACATTAGATGACAACAGGTGCTCACATAGGTTTGTGCTGATGAACATGTCTGAGCAGCTGGACCACGTTGTTGTGTGTCGGGGAGGAAAAACTACTGCAGTCAGAGTCATGCTGGTTTGAGCGTGTCGCTGCTCGCTGGAGTTATATCGGCTCTGTCTGGACGTTAGTTGGAAAACCTTCTCTTTCAGTCGTGAACACATTACTGAGCGGCTAGAATCTCCGTTTCTGGGCTTCAACGTCAGAAAATAGCTGAGTGAACTCGGCGCTGAGTGAGAGGAGTGTAGTTTGTCTGAGACAGCGGAGCTGCAGACACCGGCAGCAGACGGAAAAAAACACAAAGGAGGGGGCTTCGTCGGCTCCGCGCTGACGCCGCAAAGCATCATGGGAGTTGAAGTCTTTGCGGTAAAATCAGCCAGTGGGTCAGTTTTAATATATTTTTGATATTTATCTCGCGGGCCACATAAAAATGCTCCGCGGGCCAAATGCCTTGTGTCTGACACATGTGCTCTAAAGTCTCACAAAGTCACTCATTTGTTCTAATTACATCTTAATTTTTATTTGCTGTTTCACCACCAGCCCCTTCCCAGCTTCCTCACACATTCTGAGTAACCCAAATTCAACATCTGAAACGTCTCTGTAACTCTTTTGAGACAAGATTTGGTCAGCAGGTCCTTTCAGCATATTCAGAATAAAAATGAGAGTAATTTTTAAAATAATTTTTCAGATGTGAAACTCACAAGAATCTCTGCAAACTGGAGAAATGACACGTTGGTGTGTTTTATTGGAGCTCTCCTTCATAAGAAAAGTCGTGTTTGTTTTCTGCTGTGTGCAAACTCGGCTCACGCGGCCCAGTGGGTGATCTAATATTCTGTTAAGTGTTTAACTGATGTGGTTTCCACAAATGAGTCCCAACTAAACAGCGGGAGGAGTCTGCAGAGAGGAGCTCAAGTGTTGATGAGTGATCAGTTCTCAAAACAGTCACCGGACCACATCCTGGAGAAACCTTCATCTGATCTGATTTGATTTGAAATCTTGTAAAATTACTGAAAAATGCCTTTGCTCATTTCTTAAACTGTTAAAAGACATTAGAGAGTGGTGAGTTGTAGCTAAAGCCTGAAACATCTTCAGATCCAAACCAAGCACCAAAACAAGTCAGATCTACACAAGCTTTGCCTGAGGAGTTATTTTATTTATTTTTATTAGCAGTAAGCAGCTTTCTGTTGGAGAATTTAAAATGAGAGCATCTCTGGGATTTCTGTCAGGAAGCTGCATCCACAGCTAACCAGTCAAGCTTTGGCATCTGAGTGGGTTCAGGAGCCCTGAGCAGCAGCAGCTAAGTGGTCCACTGATGGGTGATTCGTCATCAGGGCTCCCAGACTTTAGATTATCCCTGCAGAAAATGAATGTTTATCATAATCTGGATAAAATACATTTTAAAAGATGTTTTCATTTGTTGTTGCTTTATTGTAGGATTCAAGTGTCCTGTCTGCTCCAAGTCTGTGGCGTCCAATGAGATGGAGGTTCACTTCATCATGTGTCTCAGCAAGCCTCGGCTCTCCTACAATGGTAAGAAAAGCCTTTTCTGGGATGGAGAGGGTAAAAATCCCAGGAAGTACGGCTGCTTTGAACACACGCCGCTCCCCGAGCCTCACCTGCGGCCCTTTTGGGTAAATATTCATGACGAGGTGGGTGCAGGTCCATCGCTGATGCCTGCTGTTGAGCCAGTACTTCCACAACATCATCAATATGAATGAGAGGAAATGAAGAAAGTAACAATTCATTATGAATTCATGAAGCGACTGTACACAAGCCAACATATTCAATTATCTGCTCCTTAAAACACCAACATCAGTGAGGCTGTGAAGCTCCTTCATCCTAATTAACCCGGACGGAGCACGGGACTCCAGCATGCTTCACACAATGTTTCTGGCTGCTTTTCACCCCAATAAGTCTGTTTTATTTGTTGTTTTTAGATCATTGTTACCAGTTGGTGTCATTTTGCTGGAGCTGTAGTGGCTCTGTAAAAATTCCCCTAAAAACAGACAAATTTAATTACATCGCCTGGTGACTGCTGGAGAAACTAGCTCCCAGCAAGCATGATCAGGCCTAAACAGCTCAGGAAAATCAATTAATGTAGAGAAACTGTGGCTGCATGTGTGAATAAAAGTCATTTTATAAAATGATGCACTCCTCTAAAGGGAAATGGCTTAAAAAGAGATGTTCTGGCCATTTCTACGGGTGCAGAAAGCTTTTTATTAGGTTTAAAGCTCCTTAATATCATTATTTATTCTTTAACTTTTACAGTTTACTCATGTTAAACGAGGGACAGAGTCTTTATCACTCTTGCATGATTCTCAGTAATCGTGAAGGTTGATGCTCAGCTGTGTTAAACAGCGGAGGAGTGAAGTGGAAGCTGGACAAGTCGTAGGATTTGATTTTTCTCCATCGATCGTCTGTTGTGCTGCTGCGGTTGTGATGTTAGCTCATCCTTCACTGTCCCCACAGCTGACAGGTCTAGCTTAGCGACTGCTAATCTGTTACACCTGAGTGTCTGGGGATTTTTTTCTGTGAATTGAAGCCTTTTACCAAAACGTTTAAAGGTATACTATACAACTTTTTCATATTTTACAATATCAGAATTATCATAAAGGGGCGGGACTTAATTAAAAAATAAATCAGTTTGGCATTTTGGTCTCTTTTAACTTTGTTACCATCCCAGGTGTGATTTCCTCCATCGACCGTCCGACAGGTGTGTCTATTTTCCCACAGCAGTTTGTCGATCGCCGTTTGTTTGATTCCTGACCTGATGGGTGACTTTGTAGTCATCTATAACTCTGCTGTGTCTCTGATTCTAACTAGCTGCTCCACCAGAGAAAACAAGACATTGGATTTCTGTTATGCAAATGTAAAGAATGCATACATGTCCAAAACAAGACCTCTACTGGGACAATCAGATCACAGTCTTGTTTTTCTCTGCTCAGAATACAAACCACTTGTTCAGAGGCAACCTGTGACAAGAAGAACTGTGAGAAAATGGTCACAGGACGCTGAAGAAGCCCTGCAGGGTTGTTTTTAGACCACAGATTGGATGACTCTCTGCCAAGGATATGAAGAGGACATCAGTGCCATGACTGGATGTGTCACTGACTATATAAACTTCTGTGTGGACAACATCATACCCACCTGAACAGTGAGATGCTTCGCTAATAACAAACCCTGGATCACCAGTGAACTGAAGAATCTGCTAAATGAGAAAAAAAGAGCCTTCAAGGAGGGAGACAGTGAATTATTGAGGAGTATACAGAAGCAACTGAAGATCAAGATCAGAGACAGCAAGGAGGCATACAGGAAGAAGCTGGAGAACAACCTACAGAGGAACAATATCAGAGATGTCTGGTCAGGGATGAAGAAGATCACAGGCTTCAAGCAGAGGAAGGATTGCACAGATGGCAGCCTGGACACAGCCAATGAACTGAACAAGTTCTTCAATAGGTTCAGTTCAGGAACAAACCCAGCATCCTCCTCGCCTGTCCTCAGCCAATTCTCCTCTGATCCAACATTTTCCTGTCACACGCCAGCTCTTTTGTCCTCTAACACAGTCATGGACACTTCTGGTTCTATAAATCTGTCTTCAACCAAGTCAGGAGATGCTGCTGCCCCATTTACCTCCCCCTCCCACCTATCTGTCTCTAGAAGTCAGATGAAGAGGCAGCTGGAGAGACTGAACAGGAACAAGGCTGCAGGTCCAGATGGTGTCAGCCCCAGAGTACTGAAGGCTTGTGCAGAGCAGCTCTGTGGGATTCTGCAGCACCTCTTCAACCTCAGCCTGGCCCAGGAGAAGGTTCCAGTCCTGTGGAAGACATCCTGCCTTGTTCCAGTTCCAAAGAAAACTCGCCCATCAGTCAATGACGACTACAGACCGGTTGCCCTGACATCCCACATCATGAAAGTCCTGGAGAGACTCCTGTTGGTCCACCTGAATAAGCAAACTAGAACATATCAGGACCCATTGCAGTTTGCTTATCGCCATGGAGTTGGAGTTGAAGATGCCGTCATCCAGCTGCTTCAACCAACCCACTGTCATCTGGACAAAGCAGGCAGCACTGTGAGCGTCATGTTCTTTGATTTCTCCAGTGCATTTAACACAATCCAGCCTGGTGTACTTTGCCAGAAACTCCAGAAGACACAGGTGGGGGCCTCAACTATCACCTGGATTAAAGACTACCTGACAAACAGACCACAGTTTGTGAGGCTGAAGAACTGCACATCAAACCAGGCCATCAGTAACATTGGAGCACCACAGGGGACTGTACTCTCACCTTTCCTTTTCACCCTGTACACCTCAGACTTCCAGTACAAATCAGAGACCTGTCATCTACAGAAATACTCAGATGACTCTGCAGTTGTCGGGTGTATCAGAGATGGACAGGAAGCTGAGTACAGAGAGCTGGTGGAGCGCTTTGTGGCATGGTGTGGAAACAATCATCTGACCTTGAATGTGAACAAAACAAAGGAGATGATTTTAGACTTCAGAAGAAACAGGGTGGTGTCAAACACCGTTTCCATCATGGGAGAAGAAGTGGAGGTGGTTGAGGAATACAAATACCTTGGAGTTCACCTGGACAACAGACTGGACTGGAGAAAGAACAGCGAAGCCGTTTACAAGAAGAGACACAGCAGACTGCACTTCTTGAGGAAGCTTAGGTCCTTCAATGTCTGTAGCAAGATGCTGCAGATCTTCTACAAGTCTGTTGTTGAGAGTGTAATCTCTTCAGCCATCGTCTGTTGGGGTAGCAGCATCAGAAGCAGGGACCTGAAAAGGCTCAACAGCCTAATAAAAAAGGCTGGTTCTGTTCTGGGGACGACTGTGGAACCGCTGGAGGAGATAATGCAAAGAAGGATTCTCCAGAGAATCAAGAAAATGATGGACAACCCTGAGCATTCTCTTCACAAGACTGTCCGACAACGGAAGAGTGTCTTCAGTCAGAGGCTTCTTCAGTTTGGCTGCAACACTGACCGCTACTGGAGATCCTTCCTGCCAACAGCCGTTGTAATATACAACAACTCTTTGATGACCTGATTATTATTATTATTATTCTGAGCTACTACAGCAATCAATTTCCCTCTGGGATTAATAAAGTATTTTTGAATTGAAATGAATTGAATTGAACTATGACTCACAGGAGGCTTGGAGGGCATGAGGTCAACCTTTACAGCTTCACAAATAACTCTGCGTGGCCCACAAGGCCGGTGCTGTAAAATAAAAGGTCGTTTTGAAGCCTGCAGCCAAATTCAAGCTGAAGACTGAGTGACAGAGACAGAGAGCGGAAAGTAAAAGTGTCTTAAAGAAGATGGGATCCAAAGTGATGAAGTGCCCTGATGGTTGATAATTGACAAGAGGAGGAGCGCTCCCATAATTCCTCTCATTTCTTTCTGCTACTCTGTTCTTTCCTGTCACTCTTTATTTCCAGCAAATAACTCTTTTCTATTCTCCTTCTGCTCACCTCTCCCCTGTCTGTTCCTGCTGTCTGATCTCAGTAATTCATTTTTTCCTCGCTATCTCCCTTCTTCTCTGTTCTCTTTGGGGTTTGAAACCCACAAAATGAGCAGAGCTTATCTTGTTTCCCAGCATGCTCGGGGCTTTGTATTTTTATTAAAACACCTGGTCGACTCCACACACGTATCTCAAACACACATTAAAGCCTTTTGAGTTTAGTTATTTTTTATTAGTACAAAGAAAAAAAGACATTATTTGAAATGTAATAAATAACATTTTAAAAATGATTGTATTGGTTTTAAACTAATTTCTTATTCACTTAATACGTCTAAAGCTGTGTTCTTTCTTGCTCGAACAGAATTCATTAATCCCTCCAAGTCACATCTACCCATTTGTAGATTTTCTAACCGTAAATCAATCGGATGAAACTTTGAAATTGTTTGAAAATGTGAAAGCACACGCTAGATTTCCCCACGTCCACTTGAATCCTTTAAAGTTGTGGAACACTTAGATACCGTTGCAGTGATGTCTAGTAGGAAGAACGTTTTTAGTCGGAGTGCTAGTTGTGCCGCTAAGCAGGAAGTTGTCCTCTCCTCATTGGCCCTTTTTAGGAAGAAGCTAGTCACTGACCTGGGAGTAAAGCTGGATGTGTTGCTAAAGCTAGAGGCTAACATGTAGTGGTGCTCTCTTGCTTTCTCCATCTTCGCCGCCTATCCAGGATCAAGCCGCTGGCGTCGCAAGCCCACCTAGAGACTGCAGTCCAGGCTTTTCTAATCCTAGAGTTTCACCGTCTGTTTTCTATCAGAAGCGTATGCAGGTGATAGGTGTAGGAGACTATCTTCATGTTCAGCCTGCATGAAACACTCAGAGTGAGCCGTTAGAATCAGAAATAATCATTAAAGAGACTTTACGGAGTTTTGAATTTTTATGCTCACGATTGCCCCCTCAGGCCAAAAGTGTAACGGCAGCTTCAATAGTAGGCTCGTGCAGTGCATGCTGTACGTGCACACTCCTTAACGAAAATAACAGCTGAGACAGTTCCTTGTGTGTGTGTGTGTGTGTGTGTGTGTGTGTGTGTGTGTGTGTGTGTGTGTGTGTGTGTGTGTGTGTGTGTGTGTGTGTGTGTGTGTGTGTGTGTGTGTGGGTGGGTGGGTGGGTGTGTGTGTGTGTGTGTGTGTGTGTGGCCCGGAGGACAGGAGAACGTGCAGCTAATTAATTAAATAATTTGGTTCTGTACCTTTCTCTTCAGCACAGCCGACAAAGGTTATGATGGGCCAGTCCTCCTGCATGCTCAGATCATTCCCTTCCCTTGCTTGAAAAATTGTTCCAAAATGAAAGTTGAACCCACATCTTTTTTATCTGTGAATTCAATGCCGTTCGGCGAGTCTCAAATAAAAATTTGGGCATCTTACTGTAAAAAAATATACCATTAATGTAAAAAATAAACTAAATAAACTATGTTCACATCCAGAATCAAACCCAGGTCTTCTGCATGCGAGTCCGACGTCTTACAAGGTGAGCTAAAGTGCCAGTGATGTCCTTTGCATCTATAACATTTATATCCTTGATGACAGCTGAAAAAACGTACAAAGAACGGTTCGGAGTGAAAATGGCTATTTTGTTGCTAATTAGCAGGAAATATCTAGAAGAAAGTTCTACAGAAAGTAGCTAAGGGTCCTCAGAAACGTAGCTAGCTTTGTCACTAGGCGTTAGGAACAGCGACAAAGTGGCACTGCCTCTCTCTCTGCTGCTAAAGCTACGGATAGCAAATGCTACGGGCGATGCCTGAGCGTGAACGCGCATGAAGCAGCCTGCTCGACCCGAGCATCTCTCTTTTTCTGTGATTTTACAGAAAAACAGGCAATCACAGTAAAAATGCCAGGGCTCATTCTACAGGACCAGGGCATTGCAGGAGAATGTATGAAGAAGACATTTATTATTTCTATACGTGTTTTGGCTGTCACACTTCCATAATGTCCCTTTAAATAAAATAAATAACCTACACAGGTTTAATGCAGAGGCAGAAAACCCAGCGACTGATGAGCTTCAATCAGCTAATAATCATGCAATAATCTTATTTCTTTTGCAGTTTTTCTGCATAACCGCTCCACAAAACAGCCTTTCAGACCTTCAGACCTAACAAAACCATAAAATACAGGAAGTGAGTTAATGGGAAAGAGAAATTCTTAAATAAATGCTGCATAATTCTCACATTTCTGTGTGTTTTCTGTGAAATAAAAACAGCTCAGTTGGGTTTAAATGCCCTTGAGGGGCATGTTGGTTTACATGGCCGTATCACACACGTATCACACAGATTACATAAAACACAACATGCATTCCTCCTGAATAATAAAAATAAATCATAAAAAGGTGGACATCATAACAGACCATAATAGAGTATATGCATCTAGTTCAAATATGCAGTTCGAGGAGATTCTCAATGAATTAAATGAAAACTTCTGCAGCTGCATTGAGGAGACATCTGTATTTAACCCTTTCGTCCACGCTTTTCATCATGAAAGCTCAAAGTAAGCATGGCCTTTAAATTCAGCGTACTTTTCACTTGCTGCCACAGAAGCGGCATGGTGTCACCGCTGCAACGTGATTTACTTTGAGGGCTTTCTGGGTTGAGCTGCAGCCTAACACAGAATCTGAGCAGCAGATGGAGGAGGAGAGCTGATGTATGGGTATCAGACAGGACGTGTAAAGGCTTGTAATCTCATTCCTGGCACTTGGTCACAGAGATTCTGAATTAAATAACACTTTTTTAATCGCCACATGGCAGTTATGTTTTAGCAAAATCCAGAGGAACAATGTTATTAATATTGGCGCGTGAAGTTCAAAGAAAGGGTTACATTTGAGAAAATTGAATAGAGAAAAGAAATTGAGGAACGATAAGACGCCTAGAAGAGACATAGCTTATCATCCATGATACTATCTATATAAATGATTGTGTTGTATCGTGTGGCGATGCACAGTCACATTCCCCAGTGTGTATGGTAATTTATTAATCGACAAGTTTTGGTTTTGTCATGGATCATAGAAAATAAAAGATGAAAATTGGCCTCGTTTTGCCTCCAAGCTGCATTTAGAGTCCTCAGTGATCCTGCTGCCACAACACACGAACGATGAGCAACCGCCGCAGTTTAAATAACCACATTCAATGTGCAAAAGTTCATGAATCCCTGGAATACCGGTTGGTGCGACAACATTTTCAAGAGTCATTTCAGCCAAAGTTTTCCAGGAGCTTGAGATATTTGTGCAGCATTCGAGTACACGGATGTGCCTGAAGTACAAATCTAATCACATCGACGCCGTAAACGTGTGCGTTTTATTGCAATCCTACTGCAAGTTTGTGTCTTGGACTTGTTGCTCGACTTTTGATGTACTTTATTTTGAAATGTGAAGATTCAAGTCCACGCGCTGGATGTTGGAGGCCGGAAGAACGTGCAACAAAAAGACAAAGGTGACGCATGAAAAAGCAGCATAAGCAGATGACTGGAGACAAGCTGTGACCGGCCCGGTTCTTAATGGACTCAGTGTGGATTAGAACCAGGGCTTTGTGCTCCTGCTTCACCAAGCCAATCTCAGACGCTCCTGTTTGAAGCCAAGCCACAACAGCTGGAGAGGTGAAATGAGGTGCTCCCGACTCTGGACTACCAACAGAGCCACGCCAAGATGTTTGGGATTATCCCTCGACTTAGAGGATCAATATGTTGAGCTCAGAGTAGATAAACACCGTTGAACTCAGTGAGCGCCGCTGCTGTCATCTCACTTTGCCAGTTATAAATAAGTTTGGAAAAATCTAATTTGTGACTGAAAGCGGGATTTTCGTCTAAGCAGGTGGCCGTCTGTCCTTTGGAATTTCAGATAAGAAGCAAAAATGCAGGAATTTCTCAGACTTTCCTTTCCAGACAGAAAAAAAACGTTTTCATTGTTTTGAGTTTTTACATCAATGATGTTAATTCTAATAACATCCAAACTGTTTCATGAGACCATGATATTAAAGTTATTTTACCCTAAATACGATCCTACAACAGCTATATAATAATAATAATGTTGTATTTATTTTTTATAAAAATGTAACAGTGTGGAGTAAAATTGGCTCTCGCCACCTGTCGATCAGGCACCAGGGGGCCGTAGACATGTACCAGACTGGATCTGGCAGGTTTCTGATGAACATACTAATCCTGATGCACCATCTAGAGGCTTAAATTCAACACAGAGCAATTCCTTGCTCCTCCGTCCTACTGGAGTGGAATTAAAACTGCCGTAAACAACCCTGCAGCAGCCTGCTGTAGCTAGTGCTACAACGAGCTAGCACCAAAATGAGTCAAGCCAACTAATACTAAAATAAACCACGAAGTAAAAAGATCCACGCTGTTCGATCAAAATAGTAGTACTTACAAGTCCTTTAGCAACAAAGCTAGGACACAATCAGCCTGTGATTTTGTAGCCACCTTTAGCTCTCTCACACTAGCGTGGGCCTTGCTCTGGTTTTAGCTCTCTCAGGACAGAAGTAAAGTGACTCGTAGGAGGAAATCCTCTTCAGCGATCCACTTTGGAGAATAACAGGTCATGTGATGATAAATGTTGCTTGTTTTTATCCTCACGTTCAGAAAATGTGTAAATTCACTTGGAATAACAATGAATTTCTACTTCATACAAAACTGAAGCTGCCCAAGGCTGTACTTCCATGCCAGCTTCTCCCAAAGTTGTCCTCCATCAAACTCTCGTGGAAACTACTTTGAGACGGGCTCCAGAAGGGTTTCCAAGTTCCTGCAACGATTTTGAGACGATTTGAGCGACGCGCCGTGATCATGTGGATGAACTGAGACCTCTGGCGAACGTTTAGAGACATGTTTGGAAAATGGTGAATGGATGAATGTATTCGTGTAGGGTTCTACAGCCCCCCACGGCACTTCACGCCACAATCAGTCACTCATCCATTCACACACACGTTCACACATTGTTGATGATGAGCTACGATGAGGCTGCCAAACATGACCACCACCAGCAGGCAAGGAGGGTTAAGTGTCTTGCTCAAGGACACAACAGCAGAATTCTCTGTCAGTAGCTGGGATTGAACCTACAACCCTCAGATTACTGGACAACCCGCTCTACCTCCTGAGCTGCTGCAGCCCCGTTCTTGTCACTTTAGTGGCTTTACTGTTGCTACGCTGAGACGTCTGGTGTTCAGTCAGTAGAATGAAGACGAGTAAAACGATCTGGAGCAAAAGCCTTGCAGCTGTTGTTGATGTTGTTGTTGTTGTTGTTGTTGTTGTTGTTGTCATAGCTCTGGCCACAAAGTGTATCTGCTGTGTAACGCACCAAGCCACTCCCCCTGCTGCTCTCGGCTGTGGTTGATAAGCTGTCGATGTTTCAGTGAATACTGATTTGTCTTCCTGTGTGTGTGTGTGTGCGTGCGTGCGTGCGTGCGTGCGTGCGTGTGTGTTCCTCCCACCTTAGATGATGTGTTGGCGAGGGATGCCGGCGAGTGTGTGATCTGTCTGGAGGAACTGCAGCAGGGGGACACCATAGCCAGACTGCCGTGCCTCTGCATCTACCACAAAAGGTGACATATCGCGTCATACCCCTGTCAAAACCCGTGCACGCGCATTGGGTCCACAGCGCGCGTGTGAACGGGACTCGCGAGCGGAAATATACATGGCGAGAGGTCATTTGTGCACTGAGAGGGAGCAAACTGTGTCTGTGAGCGCACAAGGATGTGCACAAGTGACAAACCTGCGTGCGCGCGTTGTCAACGAGCACACGGCAGAGGAAAACGTGCGCGCGCGGCAGCCTCTGTGCGCGCTCGGCAGCCTCTCTGCGCGCTCGGTTTCTGACTCCTGCTCGCTCGGCTGTAAGGGTTTTGGCACTCTGGAGGCGTGGCCTGTGGCAGATCTCCTCTGTCCTCTGATTGGTTAGTGTACCCCGCACTTTACCCTCTACCTATCTATATAAAAAAGTCTACTAGTCAAGTAGTTGCTGGCATAGCTCAGTTGGAAGAGCGGGTGACTCTCGCCCCGGAGGATCCAGGTTCGAGGCCGGGCAAGGAAAATGTAGTAGATGTCATGTTAATTTTTCTTAATTTCAGGTATTTTACAGTCGTGACCGTTCAACTGTCATTAAACGTCCGAATGTTTGCTGGGCAGTGTTTTAAAAAGTGCACATAAGCTAGATGGTTTTAACCATATAAAATTACATTTTTTGTGATACTGGAAAAATACATACTGAAATAAAACTACTGATTGAAAACTTTATGACTGTGGTTGTACAATATATGACTCACTAATACACTGCAAACTCCCTTAGAGTGGAGCTTCCAGAGAGAGAGAGAGAGAGAGAGAGAGAGAGAGAGAGAGAGAGAGACAGAGAGAGAGACAGAGAGAGAAAAGTTCTTGCCTCATTAATGAATTGTTTATTTTTTTCAGTATTTAATTGACAAATTATCCTTTCAAATAATTAATTGATGAGTTACATAATTGTCCATTTAGAATTGTTGAATGGACTGAGTCAAGTTTGGTGCACTTTATATATTTCAAAACATGTTTTTATTTTTATTTTAATGATGCATATAAATAATTTAAATGTTAATTTAATGAAATATTTCTATTTTTTCATTACCTCACCCTTGTTTTGACAAAAACGGGACCTTGCTGGATAATATCATGGAGAAACTATTTGTTCACAGTACATGGCTCAGTGAGGATCTGTGTACCGAAGGAGGAGATACTCAGAAATCTGTCTGCAGATTGTTACAACCCAGACTGGAAGTGGTGGGCTGTAATAAGAAAGGAGACCAAACAGAGGAGTGGGGGTTCAACAACTGATTTATTTAACAAAAGTAAGGATTTACTAAAGCAAGTTAGTGAACAGAAAATGGCCATCTCAAGGTTTTACTCGGATGTCCCTCAGCAGGGTGCAGCACTGTTGAAGGTCATCTGAATGAAAGCTTGATATGCAGTTTCTTTATGAAAGTGTGTAAATATACAGTGTGGTTGCCGTACATATGTTGAGGTTCTCAGACATCAGGCTTCTTTGCCCAGGCCTTCACTAGTGGGCTATTTTAAAAGTTGGTAAGGAGAATGCATCATTTAAATAAAAAAAAAACATGTTTTGAAATATATAAAGTGCACCAAACTTGACTCAGTCCATTCAACAATTCTAAATGGACAATTATGTAACTCATCAATTAATTATTTGAAAGGATAATTTGTCAATTAAATACTGAAAAAAATAAACAATTCATTAATGAGGCAAGAACTTTTCTCTCTCTGTCTCTCTCTCTGTCTCTCTCTCTCTCTCTCTCTCTCTCTCTCTCTCTCTCTCTCTCTCTCTCTGGAAGCCCCACTCTAAGGGAGTTTGCAGTGTATTAGTGAGTCATATATTGTACAACCACAGTCATAAAGTTTTCAATCAGTAGTTTTATTTCAGTATGTATTTTTCCAGTATCACAAAAAATGTAATTTTATATGGTTAAAACCATCTAGCTTATGTGCACTTTTTAAAACACTGCCCAGCAAACATTCGGACGTTTAATGACAGTTGAACGGTCACGACTGTAAAATACCTGAAATTAAGAAAAATTAACATGACATCTACTGCATTTTCCTTGCCCGGCCTCGAACCTGGATCCTCCGGGGCGAGAGTCACCCGCTCTTCCAACTGAGCTATGCCAGCAACTACTTGACTAGTAGACTTTTTTATATAGATAGGTAGAGGGTAAAGTGCGGGGTACACTAACCAATCAGAGGACAGAGGAGATCTGCCACAGGCCACGCCTCCAGAGTGCCAAAACCCTTACAGCCGAGCGAGCAGGAGTCAGAAACCGAGCGCGCAGAGAGGCTGCCGAGCGCGCACAGAGGCTGCCGCGCGCGCACGTTTTCCTCTGCCGTGTGCTCGTTGACAACGCGCGCACGCAGGTTTGTCACTTGTGCACATCCTTGTGCGCTCACAGACACAGTTTGCTCCCTCTCAGTGCACAAATGACCTCTCGCCATGTATATTTCCGCTCGCGAGTCCCGTTCACACGCGCGCTGTGGACCCAATGCGCGTGCACGGGTTGTGGCACGCTTTAAACGCCATAGTGACACACACACACACACACACACACACACACACACACACACATACACACACACACAGTGAGAGAGTGAAATGAATCACTGCCTGTTATATAATTTTGCACTTCTTCTAATTAAATCCACTCACAGAATGCCTGTAAAACCTCTGAGATGGATCACAGTTCTGGCTCTTGGTGCACAGATTACTCGTCATGCATCATTAGTAATGAAGGTGCTGCATGTTGCATTTCTAAAAACCTGCTGATGAGTGGGACGGCTTAAGACAGTTAGCTCACAGAGAGATGAATAATGGGTCTCCGCTCTGCCCACACTCTGGAAGCTGAGGTGATGCTTCCCAACGGTCTGTTTCACCGAAGCCTTTTCTGAATAAATGTCAGCAGCAAAAGGAGTTTGTGGAAAATCTTTCAGTTTCGATTATCACTTGTTCTAAAACTGCACTCTTGTGACTCACAAGCTGCACATTGAGCATTTTGACTGATGTGGGAGTTTACGGAGGCCTTCCAACAGGATACTTCATAAGAAGGAATCCCTGATCGAAGACACTTGATGCTGCAGCTGTTTCTTCTCACCTCTTTGTTTGATGTCTGAATCCATAATGAGCTGTTTGCAGTATTTCCGGTAATGTGTCTGTGTGCCTCTGCAGCTGTATAGACTCGTGGTTCGAGATCAACCGGTCCTGCCCTGAACACCCCTCTGACTGACTGACCACTGGGCCCCACTCGGAGTACTGTTCAAGGTGAGCTCAGCATCATCACACTCTGAACGCTAGACCTGTCACACTCGGTCTCGTGTGAATGCATTCATTTCAAATCTGCTGCCGTGCAGAAAACAGACGGTCCTGGTATTTAGATTTTATTAAAGTTATTCAAAATTTGTGACAAGCTGCTATGAATAAAGCACCTAAGGTCAAGCCACAACACACTATACACACACACACACACACATATATATATACACACACACACACACACACACACACACACACACACACACACACACACACACACACACACATATATATATATACACACACACACACACACATATATATATATACACACACACACATATACATATACATATACATATATATATATATATATATGTACAGGTGCTGGCCAGTAAATTAGAATATCATCAAAAGGTTGAAAATATTTCAGTAATTCCATTCAAAACGTGAAACTTGTACATTATATTCATGCAATGCACACAGACCAATGTATTTCCGATGTTTATTACGTTTAATTTTGATATTTATAGGTGACAACCAATGAAAACATCAAATCTGGTATCTCAGAAAATTAGAATATTCTAAAGGCCAATGAAAAAATGTTTGTTTCTCTAATGTTGGCCAACTGAAAAGAATGAACATGAAAAGAATGTGCATGTATAGCACTCAATACTTAGTCGGGGCTCCTTTTGCCTCAATAACTGCAGTAATGCGGCGTGGCATGGACTCGATCAGTCTGTGGCACTGCTCAGGTGTTATGAGAGCCCAGGTTGCTCTGATAGTCGTCTTCAGCTCCTCTGCATTGTTGGGTCTAGCGTATTGCATCCTCCGCTTCACAATACCCCATAGATTTTCTATGGGGTTAAGGTCAGGCGAGTTTGCTGGCCAATCAAGGACAGGGATACCATGGTCCTTGAACCAGGTGCTGGTGGTTTTGGCACTGTGTGCAGGTGCCAAGTCCTGTTGAAAGGTGAAGTCTGCATCCCCATAAAGTTGGTCAGCAGCAGGAAGCATGAAGTGCTCTAAAACTTCCTGGTAGACGGCTGCATTGACCCTGGACCTCAGGAAACAGAGTGGGCCAACACCGGCAGATGACATGGCACCCCACACCATCACTGACGGTGGAAACTTTACACTAGACCTCATGCAACGTGGATTCTGTGCTTCTCCGCTCTTCCTCCAGACTCTGGGTCCTTGATTTCCAAAGGAAATGCAGAACTTGCTTTCATCAGAAAACATAACTTTGGACCACTCAGCATCAGTCCAGTCCTTTTTGTCCTTGGCCCAGGCGAGACGCTTCTTGCGCTGTTTCTTGTTCAAGAGTGGCTTGACACACGGAATGCGACACCTGAATCCCATGTCTTTCATGAGTCTCCTCGTGGTGGTTCTTGAAGCGCTGACTCCAGCTGCAGTCCACTCTTTGTGGATCTCCCCCACATTTTTGAATGGGTTTGTCGTCACAATTCTCTGCAGGGTGCGGTTATCCCTAGAGCTTGTACACTTTTTTCTACCACATTTTTTCCGTCCCTTCGCCTGTCTGTTAATGTGCTTGGACACAGAGCTCTGCGAACAGCCAGCTTCTTTAGCAATCACCTTTTGTGTCTTGCCCTCCTTGTGCAAGGTGTCAATGATTGTCTTTTGGACAGCTGTTAAGTCAGAAGTCTTCCCCATGATTGTGGTGCCTTCAAAACAAGACTGAGGGACCTTTTAAAGGCCTTTGCAGGTGTTTTGAGTAAATCAGCTGATTAGAGTGGCAGCAGGTGTCTTCTATATTCAGCCTTTTCAGAATATTCTAATTTTTTGAGATACCAAATTTGGAGTTTTCATTAGTTGTCACTTATGAATATCAAATTTAAATGTAATGAACATCGGAAATACATTGGTCTGTGTGCATTGCATGAATATAATGTACAAGTTTCACGTTTTGAATGGAATTACTGAAATATTTTCAACCTTTTGATGATATTCTAATTTACTGGCCAGCACCTGTATATATATATATGTATATGTATATATGTGTGTGTGTGTGTGTGTGTGTGTGTGTGTGTGTGTGTGTACATATATGTATATATATATATATATACATATATATCTATTTATCTATCTGTCTATCTATCTATCTATCTATCTATATCTATCTATCTATCTATCTATCTATCTATCTATCTATCTATCTATCTATCTATCTATCTATCTATCTATCTATCTATCGATCGTGTTAGAACCCACAAGCTCCCAGGCCTCCGGTAGAGGACCTGAGCTTGGACTGATGAGACCACCCACAGAGGGTGAGATGGGAGTTTTTGTTATTTTATTAAGAATTTATTAAAATAAAGCTGGAAGTTACTGTAAGATCAGTGAGTTCAACAGGGCAACGCTCCTTTTATCCTCCTAAACCTGATGTTTCTGTTGGGTTGAATTTCACATGGATCCGTATTTTTCTCACCAGACGAAGTTAATCTAAATGAATCCAAAAGTCTTTAGTTTCATCCTGTTTCACTTCCTGTCTCCTCTCTGTCTCCAGAACGCGTTGTGGTTCTGCCGTGGATGGACATCCGGACACGGACACAACCAAACCCAATGAAACAATCAAAGCGACCATCACATTCCCACCCCGATGGAACCCAGCGTTCTAACAACAAAACAAACTGTTCTTCGTGAACTGAACCAAAAAGATGTGTGACTATGGAACCGCCATCCATTAAAGCGCCTCTGCCACGCTTTCCATGTGACGTCCGCTGATGAAACTGCGTACAGCCCAGACCCTCCTCCTCCCTCACCCGTCACACCTCTCTGGCCAAACAGAGTCCCTTAAAGGGCTTTATCTGCCCCCTCCAGCTCGACCAGACACGCTCAGGTCTCCCATCCTGTCTCTGGATCCAGGCCTGTCCGTCACATCTGCCCAGCCCTCCCATGGCCTTAACTGAGGAAGCAGAGCGGAGGAGGAGGAACACGAGAGGGAGACAGAGGAGGAAAAGGTGGAAACCAACAAATGGAGGTGCAGAAGCTTGTCGTGACAAAAAGACTTGTACATTATTCAGTCGGCCTCTCATCTCACTCAACAGGACTCCGGCGTTGGTGATGATCTTTCAGAAGAGACTGCCTCAGCGTGCTCCTCTTTCATAGTTCCTGCCTCAGTTCTGCGTCCTTCCTCATCAAATTTGACTACTAAACAAAAGAAGCACCTTGGATGCTCAGGACCCGGCTTGTGCAAACCTGAGCGGGGGGGAGGAGGGGTGGATGAAATCTACCAAAAAGAGGTGTTGACCTGCTTTATGTATGAGCTGCTTAGAGAGGATCTAAGGATGGACGTGGCGGAGAGGCGGAGAGGCGCGATCTGAGCATGCTCAGTTCTGACGGCAAGGGAGGAAGGGGCAGGAACCGATGTAGTTCACGCTCTTAATGTGTAATGTGTGTGTGTGTGTGTGTGTGTGTGTGTGTGTGTGTGTGTGTGTGTGTGTGTGTGTGTGTGTGTGTGTGTGTGTCTATTCAAGTGTTTACAGTCTAGGTATCCATGTTCCCTGTGTGTGTGACTGGCAGTCCTCCCTTTACTTTGCTGATGTTTACAGCTACAGAAAAGCAACACGACTCATTGTAAAGTTCAAATGTAACCTCTCTCTGTTTTTCTCTGTCAGATCTGCCAGAATTTTTCATGTGAACATGATTAGTCATTTCTGTGAGGGAGACACGCGAGAGTGTGAGTGTGCGTCTCTGTTCATATGACTGTGTCCGTGGCTTGATTACTGACTGAGCTGGCCAGGCTCGGACCCTGAGGACCCACAGAGTCACACGACCCTTGATCTGAAACCTCAGAGATAAAAAATGCACGCACACAAAATTCAAATGTACTCGGAAAAACAGCACTGGAGATTCAAACTGACAGAAAGCAAACGGCAAACTAATCTCAGATGGCACAAACTTAAAGAGCAAGTCACCCCGCAATCTACTTTTTTTCCGATAAACTATATAAATGTGTGTCTAATCATGCGGCAGACACGTGTAGTCAATAGTTTTGCACTTTAGTGCATTTTAGTTAAAATTTAAATTTTCTGCCTAAAACTGTCAGTGTTGTGCCGTTGTCAGGTAAAAACTCTGCACTGCGTTTGAATTTAAATCTGCAATCGCTATTGGCTAAGAGGTACCCTAGAACGTTAGCTGGTACCATATGATGTCACAATGTCGTGTGTGTGTATTTGTTAGTGGCTCCGCCCTCTCGGTCTGCTAGGCAACAGCATTTGTTGCACTTTTTCATACAGGAAGTGGGAGTTGAGTAATACTCTGGTAGGGGGTGACTTGCTCTTTAAAGAGGTCCTTCTGGGAGAAAATATTTTTAATGATTATTTCTGATTCTAACGGGTCACTCTGAGTGTTTCATGCAGGCTGAACATGAAAATAGTCTCCTACACCTATCTCCTGCAGTAGCTTCTGATAGAAAACAGACGGGGAAACTCTAGGATTAGAAAGTCCTGACAGATCTACGTCACACTGTCACTAACACTCATGGACTCGCCCATCTGGTCTCACGACGGGGAAGGCTGTTGTTGGTTTAGCGTCCAGGAAACAGCAGAGAACGTCTCAGCTAGTAGAAGCTAACTGTTAGGATTAGCAACTTCACCACACAGCAGAACTCCTCCAGGTTTGTGTTATTAGTGGAGATAAAACATCAACGTTGCAGAGCAAACAGTCAGTGGTAGAGTCATGTTGCTGTTAGCCAATCAGAGGCTAGATGTCTAAATATCAGGAAGTAAGTCTCCAAATCCTGTCGTTTGAAGCTACTTTCTTCTTTGGCTGAGTTCCCCGTGCTGAAACAGGCGCGCCGGGGCTTTCTTTTATGTCAGAGTGCGACTTACAGTGCATACATTCCTCCTAGAGACCACGGCAAATATTAAACGTATGAGTGAAAATCCTTTTTAACAAAAGCAGGTCAAAACGTCAAAAAGAGGATTTAAATTTACCAAAAGAAGCTGTAAGAACTCTAGGCAGGCACAATATGACAGATAACTGCAAAAAGACTCGAATTAACAACAGAATGACTTAAAACATGTACAAATGAATCAAGTATCAAAATGCACAAGTGAAAATTTACTACAAGGGCTCAACTACAACACTCAAAAATGTTCACACTTAAAGATTAGCAAAAATCCCCTAAGTTGATGCACAACGATTCATATAAATGACCCGAATCAGACTCTGAACGCCTCCTTTGTGACTCGTTTGGCCCCTGTGTGCTGCTTCTGTTTTAGAAAATTTCTACAAATGTGTGCCTCGAGGCCTGTTGGCTCATTATCCATCCACGACTGTCTGTGCATGTGTGTGTTTGCACCTGGAAAGGCGCCTCCTGGTCTCCGCTACAGTCCCTGCCCCACATTGTGTTTCTGCTGATACAGGTCTGGCTGCCTGCGACTAGCAGCTCGACACACCCAGACCCTCAGAAGGACTCTGATGTTCCACTGTGGAGCCACTGAATGAGGCTTATTTATTCATTTGTTCATATTTAACAATATTTGTTTAATAGTCAAATCATGTGAGGCGTTACTCACTCTTCAGAAGGCCAAGATCTGACGTGTGACGACTGCTACGAATCAGCATACAAACAAACTGCATTTACAAAGCTACTGTAAACAAATGGTGAAATAAATTGTGCTAGACGACAGACTATTTTCAGCGTGTTTCCTGTGATGCAGACACGTTTTATTTAACAAGATAATTGTGTTTGCTCTGGGGCCACTGGGTTAAAAAAGCTGGAGTTGCATCCTAAAAGAATTACAATTTATTCAGGCTTCAACTACATTTCCCAGAATGCTTTTGAGCGCTCAAAGAGCCAGTGAGAGAACAAAAGTCTTGATCTTTTCTCATGAGGAACTTTAATAAGTTGTATCAGTTTCTCTGGGAATAAAAAGTGAAAAATGGTTAACAGTACACAGAAATGGATGTTAACTGAACACAAAGTGAGTTTTGGGGGCATTTTTGAAGCGCATTTCTGTCAGTTCCAGCTGTGTTTATGTGGTAAAACATGACTTTTTAAGTCTAAATCGCTTTACTGCCATCTTAAAATTGCTTCAGTCTTCCTAAATGTCACATTTCATAAAAAACACTATTGTAAAAATCTTCACACCTCTGTCACAGCTACTTTAAATGGTTTATTTCAGCAGAACTATTAATACATTCAGAAATTTCAGCTGCAGGCAATATTTATGCACATAAATAATCATGTAATGCAGATTTAATAGCAGTCAAGGTTTATAAACTAACATCTCAAGAACCGGGCTAGAGCTATTTCATGACTGGTCCGGATTGTGATCAGTCTAGCCGTTAGCACATCAGTCACCAGGGACGTTAACTCTACTTTTCTAAACAGAGACTGTTCAGGAATCGATCTACAGGAAAGATAGAAACTATATGTAACTTTAATTGCTTATTCCTTGATACGCAATGCAGAAAAGCTGCAGCCTGGATTTGAATCTGCACTCTGCAGAGGCAACAGTGCCACCATGCCACCTGGTCTGGGTTTTATTTTCTTGTTTTTGTTGTTGTTAGCTGTTAGATAACGCTGTTAGTAAAAGGAATTGCACTCCAGCCTACCCCATTTTGAAACAAAAACTAAAGTGAATTGCTCATAAGAGGAAGAAATAGCATATTAGCATATGAAAAGAAATTAGTATTTCTTCCTTACGCTTAAACAAACATCATATAAATGAGATCTTACTGTGGGAAAACTATAAACTATCAACTATAAATGCAGCAGCCAGAGATGAAGTAGGTGAATAAATAAGTATATTTTCTGAACCACTAAACAAATAAAAATAGCATTAAAGTTAATGAAAACATAAAAGGTGTTTAAAATCCATGCTCAACCCCCCCACCCCCCCACCCCCACCCCCATGATGGCGAGTCACATGCATGCGAGACAGAGAGACCACTTCTTTGCAGTCACAAAACATCATAAATGCTCTTTTAACGACTAATTTGGTGGAAAACAGAGGAACATCTGACAACTTTTGCTACACAGGTTCAGTTTAATGCTCTGCACAGCTGTGTCCATCAGGTGACCTTGTGGGATGCTGGAATGCTAAGGGGTTCTGGTCTTAATGTAGTTAAGACTAAAGGTAGACCGACATTTACCGTTTTATATGCATCAGTATCGGCCGATATTTGTCCTTAAGCTGGGTTAAAGTCAAGCACATCGCTCAGCTGTTACAGAATTTATTTTAAATGTATTTTTTTTACAATCACTAATAACATCTGCACTGAGAAGTGCACAAAGGTAAGTTTTACCAGTTGGTTGAAATTCAGAGTTCAAAAAATGGATTCAGCTGCAGAAAATTTGTGCATCAACTGATTTTATTTAATTTTATTCCTTTTAGCATGAAATAGGGTGCAAAATGTCAAGATAATGGCCATGAAAATTGGCCCATGAAAATCAGCAGCATATGGACTTATATTAGCATCGATATCAGCGATAGAAAAACCAACATCGGTTGACTTAGTTGGTGCAAACACAGTGTTAAAAGCTATTAGCACTGAGTTCATGCCTGTTTTGAATTAAGACAATGACCCTGGGAGGGTTTCACAGATGCCCCATAAGCAGGCACACAACAACTGCTGCCATTGTTGTGCATTTAAGTGACACAGTGAGTTCTGAGTGATTCTCTGCCTGTAGCTATCAGAGCGATGTGATCTCTTCAGAAAATGACGTGGTTGTAAATCTGGTTTGCGTAATGAAATGTCTGTCAGTTTGCTGCTACAGTAGCATCCCAGCACTGCTGCCTGCCGCTCTGCTCTCTGCTGCAAAAACACAGTACAGTTATTTACTCCAGCCTCAATTCACTCCTTAAAATCTAATTACTGTTACTTTCTGAATGGACGCCTGGTTTAAGGGGGGAGGTTTCTAATACAACGGATAACTTTGATTTACAGTCTGCAGGTGAGAACAAGTAACACTTAAAAATCTCTCAAATCTCAAAATATGATATATTATATACTGATCTAGTTTTGCTGCTGTCAAGATATATGTGAAATGAGTATCCATCAGATGGGAAAATGGAAGATTACAGTGTAGACATTCTGTCATTTTTTTTTCTTATCACCCAGTGAATGCTGTCAGGGGCAACAGATTGTTGTGTGTAGATTTTTGATTTAATAGAAATACAAGATAGAACTTGAAGACTGAATTTATAAAATCTTCAGATTGTGACATGATAAAGGGTGGTCCTATGATCATGTTCTGACCTCTTATGGTCACGATTATAATTGCAAATAATGTGTTATGATTTAAATTGTAATTATTTTTTATCTTACATTATGAAAAAAAAAGAAAAGTCAACTGGCCCCAGATCTTGCTGTACAAACATTACAGTTATTATTACTATTATTTTGGATCAATCTCGTTTTGACTGAGTTCGATTCAATCGACGTTGTCAATTGCTTTAGCCTGGGTCCAGTTCAGCGCTCTGATTGGCTAACATGTTGTAGCGGCAAAAACCAGGAAGAAAAATAAAAACACCGCAGAAGAAGAATAGCGAGCAACGTTTCGCTGCAGTTCTTTAATAAGTTTTAACATTTCAAATGAGCACACAGTCTTATTTCCCCGTACCACCGGGGGTGGGGATGGAAGAAAACTTTCTTTCTCTCGATGATATTTTGCTCTCTCACGAACGGCTGCCTGTCCGGACGGAGTGCTCCTTTCCCCGGCTCGGATTCCTGGAGAGGTCGAGCGACGCGCACGACATCCCGGAGGTCAGTTAGCTTTAGGGATGTTTGTTTACCTCAGTGACATTTGTTCCAACCAAACTATCTTTTAAATGCCAAATCTACATTTTATTTTGGGTGAACTGGTTATAACTTCACGCTAAACATATTTGTTTCGATTAATTTCAACCTCTAATTTAAATAACATTGTCAGATAAAGCAAAGTTATAAATAAGGTTTAAGATCCACGTAACTGCCGAGAGCTGCAGATAAACACTGGGAAGAAATATCTTCTCAAAAGTTATTAGACGTGACAGTTCAGTGTTACAACTCGGAGTATCGGATGGGGTTTTGACTTGGTGGCATTTTATAATCTCGTTTTATTTACTGATAAAATTTACTTGAATCTGGACCTGAAATTAACTGAACTTTTCTACAGTACAGCTGATGACTTTCAGGGTATCTGCTGGTCCTTAAAAAGTCTTAAATTTGCTTTTACAAATTTAAGGCCTTAAAAATCCTTAAAAATGACAAATAATCCTTAAATAGTTTCCAAAGGTCTTAAATTACCAAAGACCCAGTAAACAAGATTCTCTTATTTCTATAAAATTTTCGTGAATTTCTAGTTAGTTCAGCATTTTTTGTGTACGATGTTGGCGTAAGCGGAACCGTACACATTTGGTTGGTTGTGAAAGGGGGCTGTTTTTAGATGAGCATGCTAGTGGGAGTTTGCGCCATGGGGAAGTGCAGCATTAATGCTAACTGGATGGCTAATCCCACGTTCACGACGTGGTTAGCACCGGTTCCAGGCAATATGGAAATTATAGCTTAAATTTTATTATAAAAATAGCTTAAATTTGGTCAAAGTGGCCTTAAAAAGGTCTTAAAAAGTCTTAAATTTGGCTCCCTTAAACCTGCAGATACCCTGTGTGTTGTTGTCTGGCACTAAGTACAAAACCTAAAAAGGAACTAAAATGATCAGAATTTAACGAAATTGTAACGCATACTATTTAGCAGTAATTTTCATGTATGGAGCCTTAAACCTTTAAATATTAACCCTTTGCTCCTAAATACATTTTGATCTTTGCAGTGTGTTTGCATGACCCAGTGGCGGTTCTACATCGAATTACTCCCCGGGCGAGGCCCCCTTTGAGCGCCCCCCCCCCCCCACCACCACCACCCCACCTGCATGAACACACGCATGTTTTCTACAAACAGGCATGTTTTATTAGAACAACTATTGAACATTCATTTTTCTAAGTTGCACATATTTACATTAATTACTATGAAGTTGTCAGAATGTAAATCACTATACATTATATACTGTATCAAAATATATAGAATCAACTATACAAAAACAAACAATAACTAAATATTAAGAATATATGAACATAATAGATAATAAATATTCTAAATAGCAAAAATATTTCACACATAACAAACTAAAGATAATCACTACAGCATTGCACTTAGAATAGAAAACACAAACTAAAATTAAAACCTAACCTTGATGCAACATCATCAATAATGTCATCACATGAAATCTGCTCCCCTACTGAGTGATTGATACTAATCAGAGCCAGGTGAGTGAGCCGCCCCTGAAACATAGGTGACCTCAGGCATGACTTGATCAAGTTTTGAAAAGCTCCTCTCAGCTTGAGCCACAGTGACTGGCAGAGCAGTCCAAAAGTTGGGGTAGATCTCCAATAGAGCTCATGATCCATAATATTTTAGAATTGCCTCTGAAATTGTAATTTAAACTGACATAAAAAACTGTAGACTACCAAAAATGCCAACTTTTACAGAACAAATCATGTAAAAAATAATCAGTGCAGCCATCTGCAATAAATAAACAGGATAGTTAGTGGTGACTGGGGTGTTTTCTTCAGCTTGTAGAATTGTTTTATTTATTATTATGTGAACATGATCAACATGTGTTTGTTGTTGTTCAGGCAGGCCACAGGCTGCAGCGAGCATTTAACAAATCCTAGTTTGAATCAGTAAAAAACGATTCAAGGACTTTTTTCAAACCATTTGAATATTCGTTTAAATATTTCAGCCCTATTAGCTCTGTTAGCAATTAGTTGACCGCATTTAACCGTTAAAATCCCAGTTAACTGGTTCAAAAAATTGAAAACATGCATCATGAGAGCTACATACCTTTATCTTTCTCCTCTTTTTTCTTTTTTTCCCCCTGAATGGGGCACCTGGTGGTTTTAGCTTTTTTATGTTCATCTCTTCTGTTTGGCTCTTGACTCAATAAGTTTCCTTTAGTCAGGACTAAACAATTTGACCTTGATGGGGGGTGACCACAAAATCATTTTGTTTTTCCTTTTTTTATTCGGCCATTTCACACAATTCAGAGAAACCTGAAAGAATGATAGGCCTGTGTTTATGATATTATGAATGAAATATGGAAGAACGTTAAGATGTGATTGACCTTAGCCATGTTCATACAGTTGATTCAGCCCCTACCCGCTCATTTATTTGGGAAAGACGCAGAGGTGAATTCCCCCACCGCACCCCTCCCCTTCCTGTTCTTCATAGACACACGGAGCACGTGAACGTTCAGCGCCTGCAGCTGCAGGGGGCGCCAACTTGCTGTTTCCAATCCAGACACTGTCATATGACAGATAATAGAAAACCTCGGTGCGGCGCAGATTTCCTGTTTTTTTTTTTTTTACTCCGCGCTTGTGCGCCCCTTTTGTGTCATGAAAAAATGCCGCCCCGGGCAACTGCCCTGTCTGCCCGTGCCTAAAACCGCTACTGGCATGACCTTATGAAGCCTATTAGAGCTTGACACTCTCATCTGCACCAGCACACACTCCTGTATTACTGTTTCTGTAAAAAAGTAAATAACCAGGTCGTGGTGCGTGTCGCATCGACTCTGAGGTGTCTTTCTTTCTTCCTTCTCAGGGTACAAAGATGGAGCTTCCTCTGTGGCTGTCCAAGGGTTTGTACGAGAGGAAGAGGAAGGTGCTGTCTGTGGATCTTCCTAAAGTGTACAAAGAGGGTTGGAGGACCGTGTTCACAGCCGACCCCTGCGTGGTAGACCTGCATAAGATGGGGCCCTACTATTATGGTCTAGGATCCCAGATTTTGCACTTTGACAGTCCAGAGAACTCTGACATAGCTCAGGCTCTGCTGCAGGTAAAACACAATAACAAGAATGAGAATATGGTAACTATTGGACCCTGCAGGGATCACTGACATCAATCAGTTCATAATAATAACCCACAATCAGGGGAGGATTAAGGTGTACAGGGGCCCATAGGCTACACCTGTTCGGGACCAAAAGTGCTTGGTCCAAGCAAAATATTCACATCCATCTTGTTAGGTCTTATCTGCAGATATTGTGTGCAATTTATGATATTATATAAAGAATGCATTTTTTCCAGATATAGATATAGATTGCAAATAACTTGCACGCAAAACAAAAGACGGTTCCTTTGGATGGAGAGTAGAGCAGCCATTCTCGTTTCTCCGTTGGTTAATTTTCTAAACAACATCGACTTAGAAAAATACCTTTTTTGATCTTGGTGCTGTCTCTCCGATGCAGCAACATCAGCGTCTTTATTGCGGCAAACGTCCGAACCCATTTTAATCCAATATTTTCTGGTATTTTCATCCATTTCACCCCAGCAGCCAGGATCCGGGTTTAAGTTAGCATCCACCATCAGCATCACCTGGCTAGGACCTTCTGCCGGGCTCCCATCAGAAACAACTTGAAGCAGGTCTGCCTCTGCCCCCCAAGTGGACAATATCAGCTTCACTGTGACTGCTCGTTCCCTCCTTTGAGCTAGCACCATGAACTGCTGCCGCTCCAGCTAGCTTAGCTCCGTTGCCTCCATCGTGAACGTCTTGCTTTTCTAACCTGCTGTTGGGTCCAGCAGCAGGTTTAAAATATCCCGTCAATTTTGGGATTTTCTGCAGAAGATTTTGGTGCTTTTCTTCTTTGATTCTCTCCGTTTTTCTTTTCTGAGCACCGCTCTCATATTTTCTTACATTTTTTTCATTTTCCCTCGTTAAGTGCGGCAGCCTATGATACATGAATATGACGTGTCACGTTACTTAAAGAGCAAGTCACCCCCAAATCAACTATTTTTTTCTGATAAACTATATAAATGCATGTCTAATCGTGCTGCAGACACGTGTCGTCAATAGTTTTGCACTTTAGTGCATCTTAGTTAAAATTTAAATTTTCTGTCTGAAACTGGCAGTGTTGTGCCGTTGTCAGGTAAAAACTCTTCACTGCATTTGAATTTATATCTGCCACCGCTATTGACTAAGAGGTATGCTATGATGTAAACTGGTACATTATGATGTCACAATGTCGTGAGTGTGTGTATTTGTTAGTGGCTCCACCCTCTCGGTCTGCTAGGCAACAGCATTTGTTGCATTTTTCAAACATGAAGTGGGAGTGAAGTACGCTTCTTTTAGGGGGTGACTTGCTCTTTAAAGGGGCATTATGGAAGTGTGACAGCCAAAACATGTATAGAAATAATAAATGTCTTCTTCATACATTCTCCTGCAATGCCCTGGTCCTGTAGAATGAGCCCTGGCATTTTTACTGTGATTGCCTGTTTTTCTGTAAAATCACAGAAAAAGAGAGATGCTCGGGTCGAGCAGGCTGCTTCATGCGCGTTCACGCTCAGGCATCGCCCGTAGCATTTGCTATCCGTAGCTTTAGCAGCAGAGAGAGAGGCAGTGCCACTTTGTCGCTGTTCCTAACGCCTAGTGACAAAGCTAGCTACATTTCTGAGGACCCTTAGCTACTTTCTGTAGAACTTTCTTCTAGATATTTCCTGCTAATTAGCAACAAAATAGCCATTTTCACTCCGAACCGTTCTTTGGTTTGACGTTGTTTCAGCTGTCATCAAGGATATAAATGTTACAGATACGAAAGACGTTACTGGCGCCTTAGCTCACCTTGTAAGGCGTCAGACTCCCGTGCAGAAGATCCGGTTTTGATTCTGGATGTGAACATAGTTCATTTAGAGTTTATTTTTTACATTAATGGTATTTTTTTTTACAGTAAGATGCCCACATTTTTATTTGAGACTCGCCGAACGGCATTGAATTCACAGATAAAAAAGATGTGGGTTCAACTTTCATTTTGGAACAATTTTTCAAGCAAGGGAAGGGAATGATCTGAGCATGCAGGAGGAACACACACACACACACACACACACACACACACACACACACACACACACACACACACACACACACACGCGGGACTGTCTCAGCTGTTATTTTCGTTAAGGAGTGTGCACGTACAACATGCGCGCCTCGTACACAACAAGCCTACTATTGAAGCTGCCATTACGCTTTTGGCCTGGGGGGGGGGGGGGGGGGGGGGGGAATCGCGAGCATAAGAATTCAAAACTCCGTAAAGTCCCTTTAACTCAAGACCGCCACAATGTTTACCCAATCAGTGTCGCTTATGATTTTGTCGGCCAATAGAGTTGAAGAATATTCTTGCATGAAAATTTAAATAAAATCATATTTTTTAGCTGGCCAATCGGGGCCCCAGAACACACGAGACCCCTAGGCTTAAGCCATATCAAGCCTGTGCATTAATCCGGGCCTGCCCACAATGGACAGCAATAGTGGAAAATCCTTAATCAGACGGGTGTCCTTGTTCCATACGGTATCATCAGATTGTTTATTTTCTCTAAGAATGAATGAAAACCTTCAGAGGTAAGACAAACCTACTGGAGAATAAAGTGTGCTCGCTTCTCATGAAGGCAAAAAATAATCAGGCACTTCATTAAATGCATAACATTTACCAACAGCAGTGTTTTCATTCACCAACCATAACCGTAACACTCCTAATCATTCATCCGGAGTGCTGACGGTCTGTGTTTGATCACCCTGAAGGAGAAAACTCTGATTTAGTCTACAGTGGTGTAATTCTCCATTTCCAGCCGGTGACGTTAAAAGATGCTTTTATTTCACTTTTCAGCTCATTCACTTTGTGCTTATTAAATTAATGGTAACGCATTAATATTTTGTTGCTAAATTCTCAGCCACGAAACTGACTGTGTAATTCCTCACATCACCACCAGAGGGTGCAATATGCTCAGAAACCTTTCAAACTGCCTTCTGTCTGGCTGTTACTAGGCAGATTGGCTTTACGTTATAATAAATATGTTACATGTGACTTGAATATGAAATTTGTTTTTATTTAGCTAATTGTTGAATATTTTTCAGATTTCTTGCGTGAGTTTAATCGATTGTGGTTTCAGATAGTTGGACTGACTGAACCATTTCCAACATTATTTACACTAAAATGCACAAAAATGTACTTCCTCTTCTGTAGGGTACACAGAAGCCTCCTGTTTTACTTATTCATTAATGTGCTTTTAGCCTGGTTGGTGAACTCTTCGCACTTTTCTCGCTCCAGACGTTCATCGGCCGGTTCCGACGAACCATGGACTCCTCCCAGAACGCCTACAACGAGGACACGTCTGCTCTGGTGGAGCGTCTGGACAGCCTGGAAAAGGCTTTATTCAGGTCCGGCCAGAACGGTCTGAACAGCTTCCAAAGCTGGGAGAAGGGTCAGGCCTCGCAGCTCACCGCTTCCAGCCTGGTTCTCAACTATCGCAAGAGGAAACTTGCTGATGTTCAGACCTGAACTCTGACCTAGACAGGAAGCTGATCAAATCTGAGCCTGAGCAGGAACAGACTCTTCTTCCATTATTCCCATTGAATAACGATCAGTTGATCTATGAATATTGAGTTCTCCCTGTTTTTCCATGAAGACTACACACTTCTTGGTTCCGGTTTGATGCAGTTTTCCCTTTGCTGTTTTCTTTCATTCTTTTCATGAACAGGTAGCTTTGAGTTTTCTATTTTTTTTTCAGTGTTCAAAACATAGAATATCAAAACTACAATAAAGCCACCAATGCTACAAATTCACCTGTAGGTAATAAAGGTTTATCTTTTCCTTTTGTGTTCGATCGTGTGTTTTTCTGAGTGTTTTCCAACATATTATGGAATTTTAGCTCTACCTGGATCTAACGCTAGTCCGACTTGTCTAGAAAATCTTCACTTGAAAGAATTTTAAGCAGACTACCAACCTGAGGAGGAGTAGTAGCTCGATTCTGAGCTTTTTCTAGACTTCTGAGTTTTATTCTTAAACAGGATCGAAGCAACAAACCAGTTTTAGCATTAATACGACTGCAGACATAAAATCTTAATGTATATAGTGTATATATATATACACACACACTAGTGAAAGTGTGTTTTACAAGCTGTTCCTCATGAAACTACACATCTTTATGTGTGAGAACATTTTCTTTGCTTCACTGATCACGTTGACCAGTTTAACAATAAAACAGTTTAAAGGTGTCAAGTTATTAAAACAGTGAATTAAAGAAGAAACCAACAGAAACTCAGGTTATTGTTATATTTATTAACCAGAAAGCAAATCTCTGTAATGAATACAGTGTCTATCCACAGTGTGCAGATTGAGGTCATTTCTAGATGCCAACTGTTGTGGAGAATCGGTGACGACCACCTGCTAGGCACCAAATGCTGGTAAAATGTGTTATTGGGTTACACACACACACACAATCTCCCAGAGTTATTAAGGAAGGATTTCATTCTGAATGTCTTTAGAAATTCTCCAAAACAGCCACCAGGATTCAGCCTCGGGCCCAAACTGTCACGATTAGGGCAGGAGGAAGTTTAGGACCCAAGATGCAGGAAACCAGATGAACGAAGCAGGAGGTAGATGATAGAAATAAATCCTTTATTTAGGAGTAATCCAAAAGGCAGGGAGCCAAAATCCAAAAACACTAGAAGCTAGAGAGCCAAACGAGAACGAGACTGACACCAAACAATGAACCGACAAAATACTGAGACACAGACAGGGTTTTATACACAGGGGAGGATGAGAGGGAGATGGGCTGCAGGTGTGTGGGGAGAGAGAGACCAGGTGAACTCAATTACTAATCAGGGAGGAAACTAATAAAACCTAAAGACAAGAAGAGCAGGAAACAACTAATAATCTAAGGGGGAAGAAAAACCTCAAACACAGATGGGAAAAACACACTAGAGAGACTAAATAAAATGAACAGCTGTAGCTAAAGGAAAATGACCTAAGAGAAAAACCTAAAGACCAGAAGGGCAGCAATCATAACTAATATTCTAAGGGGGTTGCTGAAACTAGAGGAAAAACACTACAGAAAGAAAAACTACAGGGGCGTGACTAAAGGGGGCCACGGGAGCACAGGACCTGGGAGGGGGATGCCTGAGGAGGGAAACCTAGAGGGCTGAAGATCTGAGGAAAAAACTGACAACACCAAGAGACAAATGAGGAAGATGAAGACAAGGACATATGAGGGTGCTAGGAGACACAAAAGGAGAACCTAGAGAGGGATGGAGAACACAAGGAGACACATGAGGGGAGACGCAGACCATGGCACAAACTGGTTTGTTCCCTGCTGGTCCTCGGAGTAAGTTCATTCATTTCACTTTCATTTGCGTGTTTGGCCCAAAATAACTAAACAGACACGAGTCTTCACTTAAAACGATGGATAAAAATCTGTTATATTTCCATGTTTTGTCCATTTTCATTTCTGTAAAATGAATACAACAGCTGAATGTGTGTAATTGGATCATTGTTAAATTTCCTTCCGGGCTACATTTTAACAGTAGGTGTGTGGATCCACACCTGCAATAAAACTCTACAGACTCCACATGATGGCAGAGGGAGCATATGCACCTTCGTGTCATTCCTGTTAATGCTCATTGCCGTTCATTGTCTTCAGCTGCTGGTTGTGAACACAGCTGCGTCTGGATGTTTCAGCGCTGAATATGTGCTGAAAATGGAAACGTGCAACAGTGCTGCCAGCAAAAGCACGATGGCCGTGCTGTTGCACTGTTGTATTCATTTTACAGAAATGAAAATGGACAAAACATGGAGATATAACAGATTTTTTGAAATGCATGTGCAATAGTTTGAAACGGCTTTGGCATCAAGTTTGGACTATTATGACTTTGGCTTTTGTTTGAGTCAAGATCAGATAAAAGTACTGAGGTTTATTTAGGAAAAGGATGTGTTTTGCATCTTCTTTGACGGAGTTTGGTGGACTGCCTCGCTGACCGACATCTGTAGCGGTGAGTACGTCTTGGCTTGCCAGGCTAGAAGAAACGGAGTTGATATCATCACGCAGGTATCTAGTAAATACTCAGTACCAACGTCGGATCCATACTATCGATATTTTAGATCGATCTGCCCAGCCCTAACGGCCATGGCTGCAGGAGCGTTTCCTCTGGCTGAAACACTAGTTTTTATAAAGCGCCTCTCGAGATAAAAAAAAAAAACATAAAAAATCTTGAGGCGCTTCACAAGAACAAGAATTAAAAGATGATTAAAAATATATCATTCAAAAATATTGAAAGTGAATTAATTTAAATAAAAAATGAGAAGGAAGAAAGAAATCAACAGAAGGTCACACAAAGGTCACACCAAAGCTGGCCTGAACAGATGACTTTTCCTCATCCATCTATTTTCCTCCCATTTTCTGGGATCGGGTCCTGAGGGCAGCAGCCGAAGCAGAGGCCCAGACTTCTCTCTCCCCAGCCGCAGCTCCTAAGGCGATCCCCGGCCAGCCAAGAGACACAGTCCCTCCAGCACGTCCTGGGTCTTCCTGTAGGTCTCTCACCGGTTGGAGGAGGTGAGTCTTCAGCTGCTTTTTAAAGGAGACCACCAAGTCCAGTAATCTCAGGCTCAAGGGGAGAGAGGTCCAGAGTCTGGGGGCCACAGCAGCAAATGATCTTAATAGAGATGTTCTCAAGTCAGTGTAATGATTTAAATTACATGTTACTTAATGAGCCGTAAGGCGTAGGACTCCATAGGAGACATGAAATCCACCTTATGGATCTGTGAGGTTATTTAAACCAGAAGATTGGAACTTTTTATTGCAGGGATTAGATAACCGCTTCGATTTCACTCAGAGACAACAGAAGAGAGAGTCAAGTTTAAAAGTTAAGATTTTATTACTAACAAATTACACTAGACTAACTTTAACACTAAAGGTATGGTGTAACTAAGGTGGATGGTGTAGTGTGGAATGTTTTTCAGAACCAGCAAATCCGAAGAAGCGTTTAGTTCTGATGGGAACTGAAGGTGATGTCTTTGCGTTAAGCTTTGGTTAGGAGGTTCATAAACACATTCGATGCCATTCTGTCGGTCTACCTACCCTTAGCGGAAGTCCCCGTCTAGATCAGGAGGTGTAAAGGTCCAGCTTGACCTTTATGGAGCCGAAGCCTGTAGAAACAGCCGTGCCAGCCAACCACCAGTCTTGAGATACTCCCGGGTCACGACTGTTTGTTGGCGTCTGGTGAGACCCGAGCCTGGGTTGTGATGGTTCAGCTTTTATTCTGAAAGAATAAAGAACTGCATATAGAGGAAAGTTACGGATTGGCCACTCCGACAACTTCTCTAGAACGCTTTGAACTGGTGTTAAAGATGACGTGGGCATAGTTTTATACTTCGGATGTTTTGGTTTATGGTCGAATGAAAAGATGACAGATTTACCAAACACCACCAAAACCACGCCTCCGTCAGATCTGGCAGATTCTGATTGGATCAGTAAAGCAATGTGTCATGTCTTAACGCTACGTGAGATCAGTCCTAGTGGAAACATTTAAAGTCATATCACTTATTATATTCTATAGGATTATAATAAAGTAATTAATATTTTGATTTCACAGATCGATCACATCTTATTATTGACTAACACTTTGTTGGATTAGCTTTATTAAAATAGTTCTTTGATTAACTAAAAGAAAAGAGTTCATTCTTCTGTTGAGCTGAAAATAAGCAGGTTAGAAGGAATGCATGAGACCTTGAGACCATATCTCATGCAGACTAGTTCTGTGCAGAGGAGGGGAAAACAGTCATTTCATTCTGTTACATCAGCGACTCTGTGACATTTATAAGCCCTTACGAAGGCACAGGATTCATCTGGTACACCATAAATTACACTTGTGTTTACTTTTTCTTTATGCAACTAAGATAGATCAGCATCACAAAAACAGACTCTGCTTTCACACGAGGCCACCTGCAGCTTTTCATCAAAGGTGAAAGCCCTTCTGTGATTTATGTGCAGAAACAAAACACCGGAGGATAAAAGGTCCTCCAAAGTCCCGTTGCTCTCCTGCTGGCTCACCTTCGTCCTTAGGTTGTCTGTTAGTGCAGGTGGCTCATGAGAAACCCTGCGTCATGCCGTTGAAAATATGAAATCAGACTTGTTCTGGCTGGAGGAGGATTTATGTGGCGGCGTTCAGCACGCCACAGTGGCTGAGTCCCAGCTGCTGCTGTGTTAAACGCGGGTCAGATGTTGGATCACCGCTGATGCAAATATTGACGTTGCCTCTGGGCTGTCACTGTTGACCCTGACAGAGAGAGAGGTCTGAACAAGAAGCATTTCCTGCATCACTGATCTGAAAATGTGTTGTCGTTTGTGTTCCATCAGGGCGACTCGATGGTTTGGTTTAATGATCAGAACGAGCCCTGGGATTATCACACACTCCTGGAAAATTGCAGTTTGCCTGGTCTTTGTATTGACATTCTCATCTGACCGATGTTCATCCGGCCACTGAAGGAATTTTTGTTACAATGTGCCCTCAGTTTATTGTGAGGTACCCCAAGGCACCATGCTGGGCCTTATTCCTTTTAATGTTTTAGATTGATCGTTTCCTCTAAGGTCTAACAACTATTTATTTTTCACTGTTGACTTGCAGTAAGTTGGTTCCTGGTTCTAATCCTGGCAGCTGCATTCGTGCATGGAGTTTCTGTGTTTTTCCTGTCCATGAGTGGGTTTTTACGTGACCTTCATCAGCAGCCTCTCCTTTCTCTGCCTTCCCCTGGATTCACTGATTTCCCTCTTTCCTGTTCTCACTCATTCTCTCTTTCTTTGCATTTTTATCACAGTT